TGTTAAAAAAAAAAAAAAAAAATGTTTGTTGTATGCTTTCATCTACAAGCTGATGCTTAGAGAGGGAAAATTTATACAAGATCTCAGGCGTAGCAATTATCTGAAACATAACTCCTAGTATACGCAATTGAGCTAGAACAACTCTATACGTAGCAATATCCTTGATTACTATAAAAATAACCTATAAATTTCATGTGAAAACCAGCTTACTTCTTACCTGTAGCAGTGTCTCTAAGAAGAACCTCTAGGCATACCATCTAGACCAAATTAAAACTTTAACGGGTTACCAAGCTTCTTATGCGCCTTACAAGAAAATATTTGTGTGATACTTTTTCTAGTACAACAATAACACTGAAAAGTTTCTGAGAACCAGCAATTAAGTCAAGCTAACCTCATTGTTCTAGTACAACATTAATGGAAATATATATATATATATATATATATATATATATATATTGAGAACCAGCAATTAAGTCAAGCTAACCTCAACCACGGGCTTTGCTACGACTTCATAAACACGCTTTTGTGAAGCAAACTCCGTTAAAACTTCATCAAATTCGTACGTATCAGAATCCCAATTATTTCTCCGGAGTTTCAACCGTTTAAGCTGAAATAATGCAAAGAAAATCACAATGAGATTTTCAAGTCTACAATTGTCACTGCACTACCATTTCCAATTTCAATCTCCCATTTTCCAGAGCAAAAAAGTCCTAAAATTGGTAGCCTGAGGATTGTCAGATAAGCATTAAATAGAAGGGACAGCAGTACACGATTATACCTCCGGTTGCAATTCCACGCAATCGGCAAAATCAGCATCTGCCACCATCTCTTCTGAATTCGGAGGCCTCAATCTGACAGCAACTCTCACCCTCCCAGACACTACATTGCAGAATGCAATGTTCAGCATGCAATTAGTTCCATACTTTTTCAGGAATATTCTAACAACCAAATGCACAATTGATCATCTTTCTTAGAACCCATCACAGAACATTCACTAGAGCAAAAAATAAGCACAAACAAACAGAAATTCCACTAATAATAGACTTCATGTCTTACCACGGCACCACTGCCATAACCCGATGCAAACAAAATCAATTTCAACAGACGATCAATAAGCATTACAACAAAATCAAAAGATCAGAAAGGCGAAAGGGTTTCAACCGCGCCTAACACATGAAATTCAACACTAAATCCTCAGTCTGTTCGAACACACAATCGAACACCACGCTTGGAAAACATTCACCACAAACTTTAACCCAACAACCATAAACATCTAATTCAGGCTATAAATTACCGGCAGAAGCATCCCGGCTCGAGCCGGAGCTATTCCGTCGAGAATTCGCCGCCGATTGCTGCACCTTTGACTTGACGGAAGCCGAAGAGTGTCTAGAATTATGATTCTCAAACTTGGCAGTTCCTCCTCCTCCTCCTCTTGACATGCTGCCGCCATTTCTGAAGCTGTTGGTCGACATTTCCCTCTTTTTTGCTATTTGTTTGATCTTCACATCACGTTTCCGTACTTGTGAAGAAAGTGATCAGAGGAGTTCGAAATTTGGAGGAGAAAAAAAAATGGCCGTCTTTTCGAAGTCTTTTCCACAGTTGAAGAAAATGAACTGAAAAAAAAAAAAAAAAAAAAAAAAAAAAAAAAGGTTGGAAAAGGGGACGTGGTGGGACTAGAATGAATTATTATTAATTATTATTATATCACTTTAATTTGATTTTCTTAATTTTAATCCGGGAAAATATTTAAATTTTAAAATCCATTTTGATTTTTTTTTTTTCATGTTGAGCTTTATTTCCCCAAATTTTAGAAAAATAATTATAAAATTTTGTTCTTTTTAACTCATACTAGTGTGGTACCCGTGCGATGCACGAGCTAGTCTTATTTAGATAAACATTTAGATTTGGATGGTTGGATGATTGGAAGAACGTAAAACGCATGTATTGGAATAAACAAAATATAACTTATATATCATTAAACACATCATTGTATACAATATTATTGTTTAGTCTTTTGGTACATCGTCTATCACCATAAATTATATTAGGATTCGAGATAAGCTTAAATAAACCAATTAATTATTTAGCAAGATATATTTATATATGAAATTTTATAAGTGTATGCAATCAATATTTATTTTAAGTGTATGCAATCAATTTCAAATTTGTATTATAGATAATTAAACAAAACCTAAATTTCTAGATTGTTCCAATCCAATTTAATTTTGAGTTGCAAATTAATATTATCTCACTCTATTTTATGTATAAAAATTCCGAACCAAAGAAAGTAATAGCCAAATCATAAGAGATTTTAATTTTTAATTTGAAATTGGGCCCGATTAGATGCAATCCGTTTTTTTTTTTTTTTAATAAACATGATCTCTAGCAATTAAGTAAATATACATGTTATAGTATTTTGCCTAATTTGAAATTTACGATTTTTTGGTAAACAAATTTTTTTATATTTACAAAATTGTCATGCCGAATTTTACATAATTTAACCTGATTCTATGCAATTCAATTTTTTTTTAATAAACAATCAATCTCTTGCAATTAGTAAAAGATATATGTGATTATTTTGTCTTATTCGAAATTCCTGATTTTATGGTAATCCTTTTTTTTAAATAAAAAATGAGAAATAATTTTGACTTTTGTAAAATTGTAAGCACAATCGAACTTTATCTACATTAAATCCACAAAAGCCCATTAATTTAAGGTACATATATAGTTGATTGATTTTTAGGAATGATTTAAAGAAATAAATAAAAACTGTCAAAAATCTAATGTAATAAATGTTTGCTGACTTTTTTTTTTACTATTTTTGGTAAATAGGTTGTCTCTTTATATATATATATATATATATATATATATATATATATATATATTAGTACAAAAAAATCGTTAAACACATCATAATTTTTTATTATTTGAATTATGTAGAATCCCTCAACAGAATCGTTCAAATTATTTT